TATCAATACCTACAAGAAAGCTTGATGAGCCTAGACATGACAGATGAAACTACTCGTGAGTATGCTCCTGGAGTTGTTGGATCTCTTCAGGAACAGCTTGAAAAGTACATCTCCTCTCATCCAGAGAATCCTGCTATGTGTCGTAAGATGAAGATGATTCTGTTGCTCACCAAGTCCATCCTCAAGTGATTTCCCCAAATTTAAGCCATGTGTTCTCATCACATTGTTTCTGTTTTGGTTGACCCTATTTTCTTCTACCCTTACCAGTTGACTGCTGAGTCTCTGAATTCCATTTGCAGACCTTCATTGCCTAGTGCCCTCTTCTGTAGACAATATGACATGCTGGTTTGATTCCCAGTTGTTATCAGCCTTGATATTCATGTCAAGAATTCAGAGTTTAATTCAAATGATTGTTCCTATCAGGACTGGAGAGAATCTTGCAGTGCTCTAGATTGAGGTATGGCAAATGATATTCCCACATGATTCACTGTAACATTCCTCTTCCATTTTGAGGGGCTGCTCCAGACATGATCTGTCAGGGAAACAAACACGAAGAAATACATTACTTCTTGGGCTTGTTTCTCAGTCTTTATTTGTTAACTGGCATCTCTAATCATGTGCAGTATGGACATTTTACAAATAATTTTGGTAGAATGACAAGCAAGTACATCAAATCATTACATTACATAACAGGAGAATTTCATTATATTCTTGCTCTCATATTTGCTCAACTATCTCTGGCAAGGAATTAACCAACCACCTGGCATAAATCCATCTCATGCTTATTTGCACACATCTCTGGCCACATTGGCATAAGGTGCAAGTGGGTACCAATAGCATTTGGGAAAGCATTGTCTACAGATTGGTGCACAACCGCTGAGTTTATTAATGTGCCTTAAATATAATATGCCTCCAGTAAATTTATTGCTTTGTTGCTGTACATTGTGAGTAGTATCTTCCACACGTATGATATATGTGTGGATGATGACCAGAACTCCTGCAGCCACCCTTCTGATTGATGTCAAGTCATACTCTTCATATTGCACATGTAAAGCTTATGGAAAAAGCTGTGAAATTGAACTGAGCCTGGATCTTTTCCTTCCCTGTGTAACTCAACCCCCCCAGTGGCCTTGATGAAACTATCTGGTGTGTAAAAAGGTTTTGTATCACCATTCAGCAGAAGATTGCAAATTCACAGGCTCTGATTCCAGTTCTGTATTCCTCAGTACTATCTTATTCTACTAGCTGTACTCCTCAGTACTATAATGCTGGTATATATTTTTCTTCCACATGGAGACATTTTGAAAAAATTTTATTACTAGTTCTTAAAGTGCTCAGAATCATGGGGTTGTCATATTTCATTCTGGAACACTGCTGGAGATGCAGGCAATAAATATGTGTTTCCTCATGTTGCTGAAGGAATTGGAAGACCTAAAGTAAATTCAAATCAGGCTGCTCTTCATGTACAGAACAATAGAAATTTCCTTGTTTTTCATGTGTTATTCAGGATTGCTAGAGTTGAATTTGTCCATGCATCTTTTTGAACAAGGAGACTGAGGAAAATGTGATTATAGTCTGGACTTCCAAGAGATGTTTTTTCAAGTACTTTTTGTGAAATAAATCCCTTTTGGTTTTTGAAACCTGCTGGATTTCCTCCAAATGTTGCAATGTGTAAGGCCTGGATCTTTATAATGACAGCTGGTCCCAGTCCTTGGTCATGTAGCCAAAGAAGCTTGTGCCTCTTGGGATCATCTTCATCTGGATTTGAGTGGTTGCTGTGGGTTGCACAGGAACTTTTTTTTCACCTTTTTTACACTTGATAGGTAGGTCTGAACTGAAGTACCCTATACTTATTAAATTGCTGTTCCCAAAATATGACAGGAGAGAGTATTTAATTGATTTCCACACATTTGGGTCTTATAAGCTTATATGGGCTGGGAATTGACAATATTTTATTTAGTTTTCTTTTTCAAATTCAGGATTTAAGATTTAGGTGGGGATATCAAGAGCTATTTTTACCCACTATTGTGTCTCCTGTCAAGGTTTAGTGCTCTTATACAGGGTGGGCCACTTAAAAGTAGCCCGCCTCCTATAATACTGCATAGGAGGCAGGCTACTTTTAAGTGGCCCACCCTGTAGAATGAGATAGATCTAAGCCTCTGAGAGGTGAACATTTTAATAGGAGTCTACCTACTGCATAATTACTAGCAACTACTACATAGCTCCCTTTTTTAAATTGACTAATAAGGTGTCTGACCTCTTCTTAAAGCCAATCATACTACTACATCACCTAATGCATTCCTTGCATTTACTACCCAACCCATAAAGAGGCCTCTCCCCAACCTGAGTCCCACTTAGGGTTGACACAATGTGAATTGATTCCCTTTATGATCTTAAAAGCCTAGATGAAGTCCTCCCATTGTTAACCTCTCAAGTGAGTAAAGTCCCAATTTTTCCAAACACCCCTCATGTGGAAGTGCCTTGTTAATCATTTTTGTAATCTGCCTCTGAACCCTCTTAAGTGCTGTTAGATCACTCTTACTTGCAGGCCTCCAAATTGAACTCAATTGATATCCCTGTAAATAATGTTAATAATCATGGCTTCACTGAAGAAATGCAGCCTACTTGCTCTTACCCCTGAACAACACTGCCAACACCTCTCCATATTATCAACAACCTGTTCCGACTTTCCACTGACAACTTGAGCTCTCCAAACTTTTTCTGTAGTTTCTTTATATTTGAAATAATCTAGTCCACAGGATAAGTCCTAATAAATCATCAAATAATCATCTGGAAAAATCATGTATGATTTTATGGGAAATGGGCATATATCAGTACCTCACTGCAAGAAGGGCATTTGAGATCTTCAAATTTTACATGAGAAGGAAAAACCTTCCTCAAAAATAATATTTTGAAGTCCGATCAGCTGTGACAACCCTTTATTTTTTAAGGGTTGTCACATATGGTGTTCTTTGACTGAAGATGTCTAAAAGATGTCTCTAGGAAGTCCTGAAGATGTCCTTAAAATATCCCATAAAGACCTTGGGATATCCCTGAGATGTCACCATGCTATTTGGGTATGACCATACCACATAAATTGCATACTATACCTTATGCATATGGGATGTGTAGAGAATTTGGAACAGGTTTAAGACTTGTGGTGAATTATTATATGAGGGTGCCAAGAGATTTTACTTATTTCAGGATCTTGTACTGACAGGATAAGGGAACTGAAGTCAGAGTGATAGGGGAGCAGCACCAGTTCGCGAACGAGGGTTATGAAATGCAATTTGGTCTTTTGTTACTCTAGTTTCACTCTCCATCCTAAGCATTAATTAATCAATCCATTTTCTGCAGATACCAAAAGCTGGAGCGTGTAACTCGAGAAACAAAAGACCAAATCGCTTTTCATGACCCTCGTTTGCTAACTGGATCCCTGTTCGTGAACTGGTGCTGCTCCCCTATATATTTCTAGCAAAATATTTTGTTATGAAAACATGCATGCTAAACATGAATAAATGAAAGTCCTTTATAAAAATCATATACTTAAACCGGATGTATCAAATTTGCAGGAGCCCATCCCTCAAACCACAGAAATATTTATGTAGAATGTACGAGGTCTGACAATAAAATAATGAGACTGACAACACTGTAATGCATGTGGCAATACTAGGCTACTGGTGATTGCTGTAACCTGTCTGTGCAGTAACAAACTTCTCATGGTAATTCTAGTGATTGCAGAGCAGTACCACTTTACCTAAAGTAGTGTTAGGGGCACTCGCCAAAAAATGGGTGATAATATTATGAACAAAGAATCAACATGAAATTTCTAATCAAACTCAGGAAAACACCAACTGAAGTCTTTGAGATGTTGAGCTTTCCGTTAAAATCAATCCTACTGTCTCTATTGATACGCAGTTTTTTGGCAATCATTCTGACAATAAGGCGACGATCGCTTCGCACCAGAGTTCTCACATTTGCGATGTTTTCATCTGATTTTGAAGTTGTTGGACGTCCAGGTTGTTTGTCAAACTCAACTTCTTCCCTTCCTTCAGAAAAGCATTTACACCATTCAAAGACATTTTGCTCTGGACATAACCTCATCTCCATACACTTGTTTCAACATTTCAAAGACTTCAGTTGGTTTTTTTCCCCGAGTTTGATTAGAAATTTCATGTTGATTCTTTGTTCATAATATTATCACCTGTTTTTTTGACGAGTGCCCCTTACAATACTTTAGATAAAGTGGTACTGCTCTGCAATCACTAGAAGTATCACGACAAGTTTGCTACTGCGCAGACTTAAGACATGCACTGACAGGTTACAGCTATCGCCAGTAACCCAGTGTTGCCACACACATTACAATGTTGTCAGTCTCGTTATTTTGTCAGACCTCATATATGCTGCCCAGGTATGTTTAATATATAAATAATCCTTATGTGGATCATATGCTTCAACCATATATGCCCTTATATATGTGTGTTCATATTTCAATATATGAATCTATAAGGCACAGATAATTGCTTATAACTACAGTACCACATATGATCTTTCCATATGGGAATTCCTTTTGTTTTTAATGAGTGGTTTTAAAAGGATTTTCCCCCAGGAATATTGATATGATATATCCATAGTTGCAGTGGTTTCAGATTTCCACCAGAGCAGGGGTTCTTAACCTGGGGTCCATGGGTAATACTTGAGGAGGTCTGGTGGGTCCGTAAGTGCAGAAAAGGTTAAGAACCCCTGCACTAGAGGATTTGGGAAATTATACAGGTACTTTACTTCTTAGGATAACTACTCTGAACCAGTGTGATGAATGGACAGTGCCAATAAATTCTTGGTTAAAAGGTCTGTTCCCCCCTCCCCCCCCTCCTCCAGCATTGCTGTCATCAAGGTAGCATGCAAGATGTAGGAATGGCTTAAGACCAAAATTATTTGGAAAGTTTTTGCAGTAAATCTATAGACAACAGAATAGTGTTACATCCCCCAACATCTTGCTGATGGAAGAGATTGGTCTGAATGGAGGAGCCCCCTCATTTTCCATTGTGGCTGACAACATTCGAGTCTGTCTATGTCCTGGCATAAACTGCCTCTGTGTTAAAGCTTGCACCAGTTGCAAGTCCCTCATCTTTGACAAGTGGGAGCCCCGACCTCATGTCCTGAGCCAACGTATCTCTGTGAGCCTCTTGGGTCAACATGTGGCATATGCAATGACGTGTGAAAATCATGAACTTGGGATGCTCTGCATTGTGTCAAGCAAGGATATAAGAGAGGTGGTGGTACGACGGGTACGTGGTCCCATATGTGACCTTACATTCACCCGATCAGCAATTGATAACCTGTTGGCTGTGATAGATGCCTTTGGGGATGTATATGTCTATGAAATGGGCGAGACAAAATTTGGATCCCTGCAAGTGACCAATCTCCTTCACATCAGCCAGAGTGCTGACTTTGCTTCCTATTATCACCTCTTATGCTGGTATGCTGATGACTACAGCAAGATCTTATTGGTCACTGATGATCACAACTCTCAAGTTTGGGATATCAAATCCATCTTGGAAAAGCAAGGCCAGGGATCTTATTTTCGGGAGGACATTGGTCACTCCTGTGTACGACTGAGCCATCATAGTGCTCCTATCACTTGTGGGGTTATTGCCCCTGAAGGCAAGGCTGTTGCTACAGTCAGTCTTGATGGAAGGCTGAAAGTCTTCTTTATAAACTTGTCATTTGGTCAGTACTCTAGGGAGATGCCCTGTGTTCAGAGCTGGGAGCCACACAAAGGCAAAACACTATCTAGTGTTCACTTTTTGAATAAGGAGGCTCCTAGACAGTTCTCATATCAATGGATCATTGCAACTGCATGTGACCAAAATTCTGAGATCAAGATTTGGTCCATGGAGACCTTCACCTGTCTTCAAGTCAGTGAATGATATTCTTACTCATTCTACCCTACTTTTCTTACTTATTCTTTGTTCAAATTCTTATTTGTCAGAAAGAGTACTCAGTCATGCCCTGAAATCAAAATTTATGGAAGCAGATACCTCCTCCTCATGAATTTTGGTTTCTTTATAAGATGGTGCAAATATTTATCCAGCATAGGGATTTCTGGAACAGGAAAGAGAATGTTCCCTTTCTGTAATTTCATTTACTCTTCTGCTGATAAGAGGAAAACTTGTGATGAGTTATATTCTTCATCAGTACAGTACTATGGGTGCATAATGGCCAGCATTATTGCTGATTTCAGGTCATTCGCTTTCGTCCCTCTGCTGGGCCACTGTACCAGCTGAAACTTGAGGCCGACTTGTTCATCAACTTCCTCTTTTTTGTTGACACCACCACAAGCCACTGTTACATTCTGGAATTGGAGCATGAGAAAGAGATGATTCGAGCTAAATCCATTTCTTCTTGTGCCTTGCCCTTTGGCATACTTGGATATCATGTAGTTGATGTCCGTCCATCTTCCAACAGAATCTGGGCCAGAATTTTGGGAATCTGCAAAGAGTCCATCTGCGAGTTTGTAGTTATTGCTCCCAGAGCTAGAATGCCTGAGAAATTCAATATTGAGACAAGTTGTGACACTGATCTAGATAAAGTCTTGCGAACAGTTGACCGATTGTTGCAGGCAGTGGAGAGGCAACGGAAAGCCTTGTACACTCAGAAGGACTGGGTGTCTAAGGGAAAACAGGGCATGATCTTGAAGGAATGGAGCAGTCAACTTGAACAAGAATTGGCCAAGTTATCCAGAGACCCTAAGCAGCCCATTTCATATAATGACTTCAAACTGAACACTGGCGGATTCATGACCTGTCCACATCTAAGAACCTGGAGTTCAGCTCTAATCTCTGTGATTTTAAACAATCAGGATGAGCTCAAAGGGGCTCAGGAGATGCAAGAGCTGCAGGCTTGTGTTATAAATCATTTGAACTGGCAACATACATTTTTAGCTGACGTTCAGGTGCAGTCCGTGTTGTGGCTTGGGACACCCACAAAACAATGAAGTTTCCTGTTGTCTAACATGTTCCTCAGTACTTCACTTGATGTCCTTGCTTCCTTGCCTTGTGATCTACAAGGATGCCTTCTTTCTCAGCATCCATGCTTTTGATCTTTCACTATGTTTGTCCCAGCATATGGCCAACCATAAGCCAATATGAAAAACCATTTCTCTGTGCTGCACTTTCCAAGTCCAAGGAATTTTCAGCTGGTTAACTGCTGTCAATGCTAGACCTACTACCCTTGATGAATCTGGTATTTTGCCTTCATTTCACCTTTTTTTTAATGATGTTGATATCTTTCAACTGCTGCAAGCCATTATGCTCCCAAGATATGCTTTATCCAGATGGCAAAATGCAGTGCAAGTTATTGGCTGCAGCCTGCTCAGTCTTCCATTGCAACCAGGACCAGATCTTGTCTGCTGGGGAAAGTTCAAACTTCTATTGTAATGTTTCTGTCATGGTAATTTGCATTTGTGGTTATTTACAGAAGGAATAAAATGAGAAATGCTGGACAGTTCATATTATTCAAAAGGAAATCATTATTCAAGAAATTGCCTATGTAAGAGGAAAATTAGTTACAAAATGTAAGCCTAAAAAGTTGAAATCTGCTTAGATGAAGACAACCCTAAATCCATGCAAAAATGAATCATTCACCAATAAATCATAAATTAAATGCATAGATTAAACTTTTTCTGATGTTGATCATTAATACTTTTATTCTGCCTTGCCAAGTATTTCAGATATTTATGACATGGTTGTCATTCTCTCATTTTTGGACACTTTTTTGTGCTAATCTCAAAAAACTCTGTTTAGCATGTAATGAAATATCATCTCAATTGCTATGCTCAATTACAATGAAGTGCACTGTAGAGGGAGGTTTGCATCTCAAATTCATTCTATATCCCTGTATCATTTTAGTATTTTCCTGGTGGTACACATACTTTCTTTCCTTGAAAAGCATTTCCTATGTCAATAACAATGACGGCACTCTGTGTACAGTAGAGCCCATACTGCTTCATAGGAATTATTCATGTTACTATCTCAGGAACTCCGATATTGATTCGGAAATTCTAGAATTCAACAATATAAATGCTGTGGAAGGATCAAAGAAAACACTGCAGTCAAACATATCACATTTTTAGTATTAATGTTTTGACATTTTCCCATGTTAAAAGTTTTGTTATAGTGCATCTGTTTGAATCGCGGGTTGAGAGAGATAAGCAAAGGAAGACATTAGCATATCAGGTGGCAGTGGGACCAAAGGGGAAACTCCATGATTAATGAGAGGAGAGGGGGAGTGAAGAAGGAAACCAGTGGCAGAGTTTCCTCTCCTTTCAACCCACTACTCCCCAAAAGTCTAAAAATACCTTTCCTCATACATTCATTGATCTCCTCCTTCCCCCCTTAAAAAGGGGCAGAGTCGCCCTTGGGTTCTGGGGTGGCTGATTTGATTGACACTTCCCACTTCTCACCCTCATTAGGCTGGTGCCACATAGATTCGACAACCCACGATTCGAACGGATACACTATATCTCTTTCATAAATATAAATGCTGAGGTCTTTCCAATCATGAATTTCTCATTTGAGGAATTTTGCTATGGTCGCTCTTATATTGGATTGCTCAACTGGTGACAAATCCTTGCAGTTCAGGACCCACTTCTGCCTGTGAGAGAAATGTTAGACAGGGTAATAGATAACTTCAATGTCTTAGTTGCAGCAGTGATCCAGGGCCAAGGTGCCTGGATCAAACATGCAATAAGATACTGAAATTGAGTGTGCAATGTGCAGTTGGCTGCCATATTCCCCCAATCTGTCCCCTCCAGATTAGTTTCTTTGGGGATGCTTGAAGGGGAGAGTGTATGCCAATAACCCTCAAACCCTTGGATCATTGAAAGACAACATTTGGAGAGAGATTAGACAAATTTATTCCAGGAGAAATGTTAGACAGGGTAATAGATAACTTCAATGTCTTAGTTACAGCAGTGATCCAGGGCCAAGGTGCCTGGATCAAACATGCAATAAGATACTGAAATTGAGTGTGCAATGTGAAACACATGTTCATTTCGTTTTAAGAAATTCAATTCTAGGTGTGTTTTTACATTCCAGTGAAAGAATTATTGTAATATCTTGAAAACTATCATTTTCAAGGATATTCAAAATGGGGGAAAGTTTTTGGGACACCCTGTGTAGCTTATGTGAGATATTAGTTTCAGAAGCCTCTGTCATCCAAGATGATGACAAAGAGGCTGGTGAGGAGGCTTGAGGAGTTCACCAGGAACTTGAAACTGTCACACATTGGTTCTAATTTTCAATTTCTATCAGCTGTCAAATTAGAAGATACCAACTTGTCTCAAGTTACAGGTGATCTCTCCTGGCCTCCTCCCCAGCTTCTTTGTAATGTCATATTTAATGATGGAGATTATAGAGCAAATATCTTTGCACAAGTTGTAAAGGTCTTTTGATGGAAGGAAATGTTATTGATACACCCCTTTCCACATTGAGCAGAATTGAAAGAAACTGATTTGCTTGATTTGATTTGACTGGTGCTGACTGAATTTTGGCAGATTTAATAAATACATTATCTGCCTTTGCTGAAGCAGAGTTGGTTCTACAATGAACTTTTTCTGTACCTCTACACCATAGCAGGAAGATTTCTCCAATTCATTTCATGCTTTTATCCAAGGGAACTCTATCCCTTTAAATAGAAAGATAACTTGCCCATTTGGGGATATATGACCAGTGACTACATAGAACATATATGAACACTTTCCTTTGAAATGATGAACATGAGTGCATTTCCTTCCCCATTGTTGAATTTATTCACACATCTAATCCATCACCTCAATGTCCAACAATATTCTCTCCACAGCTGCATTAACAGTGAAAGTGACTTTTGAACTGCCAGTGCATGTAGGGAAGAAGGGGGAAACTTAAAGCAGCATTTGAGTGCCACTGCTATGCATGCAGAGCAGTGCCAGTTGACTTCTCTTGAGGTAGCAAATGTATTTACAAAGGATGGTGGCATTTCTGCACAAGGTCATGCCAAGTCTGGCTCAGGAGGGGGAATTGGTCACAGTTTATTGATTAATTCTCATGCCAGAAGTCAAAGAACAACTCATAAGAAAAAAAATCTGCAAAAGAAGAAATGGCACAGAAATGCACCACACACACACCAGCCAAGTACTTATTAGGCCTGCATTTTGTGTTCCAATCTGAAATGGGCAGTCATGACCAGGTAGTGTGATGGATCCAGAATTTACATTTGCCTTCCATCTGTGTGTGATAGCATGAAAAGTTAAAGAACATGGGAAATCTAAATTAGCTCCCCATCCATCAGACTCAATGATCTGATAGCAGTTTTGGTTTTCATAAGAAGTAACTTCCATGCTGCTGGTTTTGCTAGGTTCCAAGAGTCACCCATCATTCAAGTTAGAATGGTGAACATTACTTTTTTTTTGTTGCTTCTGAACTGTGTAGAAAACTGACAGGCATAAATGTTGAAATCATTGTGAGAGCCACCTCCATCAATACCTTTTAGGTTCCCACATGATATCCTCTAGGTGTGCCATTATTGGGAGGCTCTGTGAGAAGCCTGGAATGAACTGTAAATTGGAGGATAGGAAAGTGATCCTGCTGGGTGAGGTGTGTTACCATGAAGTATGCCTATCTATGAATTATGGTCATCTGCATTCCATTCACTGGTGAATATATGATCCTCTCACAGTGAGATGACATCCCTGCTGAAGGCTTTGTACCCCCTGAAGCAACCCCCAATGAAAGAGGGCTTGAAGTTCTCTGAAGGTGATCTCTTCCTCCCTGTTTTCTCTGACCCTGACTCACAGTGGTGGAATGTTCTAGCCTCTGATGGATCCATTGGACTCATTCCCAGCAGCTATGTCATCTCTTGCGATCAGGTAGATTGAAGTCTGCCTTTCATCCGTGGAATCTTTTGCTGGTATCTTTGACTTTCCTTTTAAAGTATTGAAATGTTCTCTTGATGCTGGAGGGGCTGGGAATGAGATTCATTTGGAAATCAAGTACAGGATGACTATTAAAAGATGAGATCAGTAGCCCTTATTTGTAGTTAGGGAAGTTTTGTTGATTTTTTGCTCACACAATTTAAATGCACATGGATATCATTCCCGTTTTGACGGGTAAGACAGAACATAAGCATCATTGCAATTTTCTTCCTGATTTGAATTTTACATTTTACAAGGTAAAATTCAAATTCATTGTTGAGTTATCTCCACAAATCAGCAAACAATTGTTAAGCCTCTGTTCTCTTTTACCTAATTTCAGATGAAATAAACATTATTTTGGAGTGTGGCTTATCAGGTGTCATTCATGCCTTGAATACATAATCTTTTGATGACTGTCATGATTAAAGAAATGATCAATGCTTTCTTAAATTTTTATGATCTTGACTGGAAATTTGATTACCCATGAGGAGAAAAGCTCTGCCATCCTATCAATGCAATAGAAAGGAAATGATGCATATTATGATTTTCTCAGTCCTTCCCTCCAACCTCACCCACACTATTATTTTGTAATCAGAAAATTCAAAAACCTGGTGGGAAGAGGAGTAGGGGATATCAACCATGACATTCTTATGAGGAATGCTTGATTCAATGCAGATAAGGCAAGAGGATATTGTGAGATTCCTTGACACTGCCAGAGAAGGCATTCAGGTGCGGACTGTGACAAGAGGTGGAGTTTTCTCTAAGGAACAAAAGAATGCCTTAGCCATCTGTGACCAGATGCATGATTCCTTACTGGGCCCAAACAAGGACTGTAGTCAAGACTTAGGATCATCATCAGGCAGTTCAGTCCCCCCATTAAATCTGGAGATGTCAACAGATAGAAATTTCAAGGACTCTCCCATCGAGGAAGAGATGGTGGGGGCCATCTGTCAAGAACTTGTGGAGGCAGTGCGATCTCAAACTCACCTCAGTCATAAACTGTCACAAGTAAGAAGGAATTTTCTTGCTTTTCTAATGAATTTTTATCCTCTCTAAGGGTACTGAAGCATGTTTATCTACATCAGACAAGTTTTTCTATTCATTGTTTAGCAACTTTTTATTCTCTATCAATACACATTTATTATTAGGATTTTGTGATATATGCCAATGGTGTTTATTCATTGCATATTGCCATGACATTTGATTGTCCATATATGAGACTGTTGGGTAGGGACTCACTGTTTTTTATCAATAAAAGTCACTAATTGCCAAAGAAACTGTTACTATATTCCATAATTTATGAAACAGTCCCTCACAATCTCCAAGCTTTCTCTTGAGCAATGCCTAGATGATTCATGACGTGTGTTACCCCATGTTTGTTATCACTGTTTTGCTTGAAATCCATTGGATGGAGGTTTTTCAGTCCTTGACCTTATGATCTGGGTTATGAAGATCTGCTTGAAATGTTGCTTGTTGACATTTTCATTGATAGCTTTTCTTTACATATTATTTGACTTATGCATCTCATTTTGCATCTTTTTTCTGGACTTAGGCAGCTGTCTTGGTCGTGACTGATATTCTCAATCATCATCTGCCAAAACTGCATGGAGACCTAACATCTCTCTGTGAATGCCTGAGAGGTTCAGTCTCTCTCCTCAACACTGATGAGCATGTTCAAGAGACAAAGGATGCCTTTAGACTGCGAGACGCCCTCAAGCACCTCATTGAGGCTCGCTATGATGAGCAGCAACGAAGCTGGGCTCTTCATGAGGATGAAGATGATATTCTCAAATGGATTTCTATCATCATGGATGTCATGGTATGAAATGCATTCCAGGTTTATGGTATCTTTTTGTAGTCAGAAGTTATTAGGCCTGAAGCATCAAAAAAGTAAAAAGTCTGCCATGGTTGACTTGTGCCAAGTTGCAAATATATCCAAGTAAAAATATGAATTTGGTTGGTGAAAGAGTAACCTTTTTCTTGATAATGGTTCCCTTTTTTCTTTTCATTGACTTGACATGGAATGACCCATATATATCAACCTGTGCATGGGCATATTATAGGCAAGTATCCCCAGGGAGAGAGATCTTTATATTCAGTCAGCTGGCTTTTTTTTTATTATATACAATTGTTCACCAAAGTCATTATTGAAGGAGTCCATTAAATGACTACAGGAGAATGCTGATGTGAAGATTTCCCGTCACATACTCGCCCTTGATGGGTTCCGGTATGTGGCTGACCTAGTGGCCTATTATCAAATGGAGGGCCGGCGTACAATTCGTCTTTCCCTTCTCAAGACTCTAATGGTTCTTGCTGCAGTTGTGCCTGCTGCCATCCCTACTTTGGTGCATTCTGTTCTTCCTCTTGAACTTGCCCGGTGAGTCTACTGTCATGGCTATTTCTTGTCTGTAATTCATTGGTAGAAACAGCTGTTTTGTGAGGCTGATCTGCTGTGTACTTCTTGGGCCTCATGCCTTTTATTTTGGATAGGCATAGGAACTATATATTTTGATGTTCCTTTATAGGGACATTATGTCATGTGGAGATGATTTTGAGCGTCTCAATTGTTCCATGGAACTCCTCACCATAATACTGTCCCTAGGAACTCCTCTCCCATGCCATTACTTTGGTGAGTGTTAAAATGCATTTTTCAATCCTTTTCTTTCAAATTAGAAAGTCAACTTCTGCCTTTGAGGTTTTCAGCATCAGCTCAGCATTGTTGCCAAAAATCAAAACCAACTAGGAAGTGACTCAATCCTTTGGGCTATAGGCCATAACTGCTAGCTTCCTATTATTCTTCCTACTGATCTTAGTTTTTCCTTCAGCTGTGTATCTGGAGTCAAGCCTGTTACAGTTCAGATTCAGTCAACTTCTACCTAGTCTACCCTCTTTTGTTGAGGACTATGTCTTGAACTGGAGGGAACTGTAGTATGCAGGGTGTATATAGATAAATAATTGTAATCCTTCTTTAACATTTGTCAGCAGCAGTTTCCCAAGCCATTGTGATGACATAGTGATAAATTGTATAGTCCATTGTGACCTCAGGGTAACATACTGCTTTCTAAGTGTGTACATACCTTATAAAATAAGAATGAGAAGTGTCCTTTCCACCTATTTCCAAGGAATTTTGACAGAAAAAAAAATTGTTTTCCTTTTCCATAATTTTTTTTGGGTCACATAGGGTTAAACACATTTTTGCTCCTGGATTTCAGAATGAAGGCCAGTTGTTTTCCGAGGGAAAAAAAATCTCAGTTTCTATCTTTTATGAAACATGGAAGCTGATGGCTCTTCATTTTTCAATAATTGCATCCAGGTGTTGGTATCAGTATTGACTAATGCAGAATAATTAGAATCTGTATCATATCAGTATTCCTCAGTCCTGGATCTTTGCATCCCTGGTGAGGACATTCAGATATGATGTCCAATATGGACTTTGGTGAGGTGCATGACTGAGCCATAAATGCCTCTTCTTCTTGCTTTCTTTCAGTTATTCACTTTTACAGTTTTATCAATTCACATTTAAGTAGAAATTTGCTCATTTTATTCTTTCATATTATGTAAATTGTCATGTCACAGTGTTTCCAACCCCTTGGAGTGGAACAGATTGCATAATCATTTCTTTTAAGAAAAAATTATAATTCCTTACTGCCACTATTAAAATAAGAGTTCAAAGGAGAAGGAGATGCTTACACTGATGTCTAAATTCTGCCAGTTTACACATATAAGTGAATCTGAGACATCTAAACATGAAAAAAAAATTGCATCCTTTAAGTAGATTCATTTGATGCATCACATGACACCAGATGTAAGTGCTTACAGTGATTATTTATTCCTGTCACTTGATAACAGATGACATGGATATCTCTACCCATCAAAATTTTCATTATGAGGGTTGTCTGAAAAGTTCTCTGTATTGATTTTTCAAATGAGTTACACTTGATGAATCTTTATTAAATTTCAGTGAGCCCTGGTTATATCTAATAGTATTTACTGTGTGAAGTTTGATATAAATTTAGCCACATTTGCACTCGTTGCTGGATATTGTATACAGTCACTATGAACGCCTCCATCGTGCAAGAATCATTCTCGAAACATGACATTCGAGTTATCAAGTTCCATGTTCTGCTCAACAACACACCGACAGAAATCCATCAACTGATGTCAATGGCTTTGGGCCAACACTGTCCAGCTTATAAGATGATCAGGAAGTGGTCAAAGCTCTTCCTGGAGGGGAAGACGGACCTTGATGATGAGCTACTAAGTTGGCGACCAGTTTCCGGTCATCTGCCATTGCCGTTGATCCTCTGTCAGGAGGTGAGGCACCCACTTTGCTGAGACCTTCTTGCCCAGTTCTTTAGTGACGATGCGATGAGCGGTATCAGGTGAGATGTCCAGCTCATATGCTATCTGCCTGGTGGTGATTTGGCGGTCTTCTTGAAGGAGGTCAGCGACTTATGGGACTTTTGCTGGTGTTGAAGCAGAAACTGGTCACCCATTTCGTGGCTCATCTTCAAGGTCCGTCTTCTGCTCCAGGAAGAGCTTTGACCTCTTTCTGACTGTCTTGTAAGCTAGACAATGTTGGCCCAAAGCCATTGACATCAGTTGATGGATTTCTGTCGGTGTGTTGTTGAGCAGAACATGGAACTTGATGATGACTTGAATGTCATGTTTCAAGAGTGATTCTTGCGTGATGGAGGCGTTCATAGTGACTGCATGCAATATCCAGCAGCGAGTGTAAATGTGGCTAAATTTATACCAAACTTCGCACAGTGAATACTATTAGATATAACCAGGGCTCACTAAAATTTAATAAAGATTCATCAAGTGTAACTCATTTGAAAAATCAATACAGAGAACTTTTCAGACAACCCTCGTACATTAACATCAAACTGATGATTGAAAAAATTTGCTAATGTTGAGGCATGCCACTCATGGCAAATGGTACTTGCCATATGGAAATTCGAATTTTGCTAGAGATCCAGCCGAACATTACTCCAGCTCTACATTCCTAATAAATTACAAGAGATGTTAATGAGGTTATTTTACTGAGTTTCTTTTAGGAGCTGCTATAATAACAAATTCTCTAGAGTTGCTCTTATTCAGAGTATTAACCCTTAGGCTCATTGCACTTATCCCACTAACTCTGCCATGCCTTAGACCCATGAAAGAAGGCAGCTTTTGTTATGCAGCTTAGGGCACCTATCATGATATGGTTGGACTCAAAATCAAACACATAAATATTTCCCCAGAGTTCACTTGGGAGAAAAGAAAAAAGTCTGATGAAACTATCCCAAAAGTGAGCACCTTGATACCCAGCTGGCACATTCTCTTCACATGTAGGTCTTTGGTAGCTATGCTTAGATGTACTTTGAACATAGGGTGAGACAAATTTGGACCCCTGTTAACTTCTGTGCTTAAATCCATCCCTTGGCTACATTTTGAACTTAATGACTTTGAGAACTTTACCATATGAGGGGAAAATGAATGCACTTTCTTTTCATGTTTTGAGTCTGGGCATTGGTTTAAATTGGTTGAAAAAGGTATATTGGATCTCAGGCTATGTTGAATAATGTGATATAGGGGCGGACTTCTTTCCAGGGTCAGAACTTATTTCATTCACCCAAATTTCAGGCTGTGGAGAGATGTTTAGATTAGTTAGCTGGGTGCTCTTGATGATCATGGAATGTATAACCTCACTGTTATGCCAGAATGGGATGTGGATTGATTGTTTGACTTTGAACTTCACAGATGCTAACATTTCCAAATTCATTGCACTTCCACAATCAAATCCCTGATAAAGCACATGCTTCCTTGCCATATCACTCCTTCAACACCTCGTGAATTTTGATTGCATATTTCTTGAACATTCTGGGATCATTTGACCATGAGTTTCAAACCTGGTGTGGGTTTCCTTAAGCACTAATGATTCATGGCAAAACTATAGCAAAATCACTTGGACCCACTAAAATGGGACTTGACCTGGAGCTATATATGTTAGCAAATCTGGGGCAGAATGAGACTAATGTGTTCAGAAATAATTTTTTACTGAGCTAAGATCCATTATTTGAATGTTTTACATATATTCGAGTTTTCTGCATCATTTTCTAGAGCAATTGAATGAGACATTTCTGGAATTCCTGTTGTCTCTGGTGGAACCTTCACCTGAACTGGGAGAGGATGATGTCTTGTCTAACACTGCCTTCATTCTCCTCTTGGCCCTCAACCTACAATTCCCTTCTTCTTCCCCTTCAACTAATCACCTCATGACCATCATCTCAGGTCAACAGGACACTCCTGTCCTATGTGAGAAGCTTCTGTACACATTTAATCGTGAGGGTGAGTCTCAGAAAAATTTTAGTTGATTCGGGAGAGTAAAGTTAGTGCTTTCAACATGTCTTTTAACAGTTGATTTTTTGAGTCATTCAGTCTTTCCCAGTGCTGCGTTTTTTTAAATAAGTTTTATTACTTTGAGACTGCTTAATGAAAATTTGCAACTTACCTAAATTTTGTGTGCTGCTGATGGTCTCTCATGGCATTGAGTTGCACTAGCACTAGTACTTTATTTTTTATGGGCAGTCACAGTAAAGAAAGTTAACACTGCATTCCTCTGGTAAAAGAGGTCCCATTGATATGAATGTTTGTTTTTTTTTTTTTGTTAAAACATGAATGGGTTTCTACTTGCATATCACTTTCAATGCCACTTTTTGATAATTCACTCTTTTCAGCAGCACATTTTTCAGATTCTGCAGTGCAAACTTAGTGGTTAGTATCAGAATCAAATAAGCATTTTTTGTTTTGTCCAATCTTCAAACTTCTAGTTGATACCATATTTCTGAAGCCATGTGCTAACCATTTGGTGATGGGAGTATGAAAGTGCTTATATTTCAGGCAATAAGCACACTTCAAATGAGCTGCAAAAAGTTATAGAGAAAGCCAAGAGATGTCAGAACATGTTCCTTGATAAATCAAAGCTGTCAAGTAAACATGACAGTAGCAACATCAATAGAAAAATACTAAATGTATATATGCAATAGTAGCACTGGTGACACTTATTACTCTGAGGTATTAGTACAGCTGTAGCAGTTAAAGGGTTAAGTTCCCTATCAAATACTTACATTGGTAGCCAAAACTATTGCATCACTTTGGATTTTTAAACTTTGTTTTACAGTAACTTACTGAAGAACTTACTGAGTTTATTGCTGAAAAATGTTGCATTATATTTTGCACTTGTGTTTATATTCAATTTTAAGGATAAGGTATTATCTCTCATTTTTATTTTTATTTCTTTATGCTTTGGCATTATTTAAATAATCATTCATTTTTCTGAGTACCACAGACTCAAAAAATTTTTTTATTCATACTTATTTTGAAATCATGTGCTAAATTTATATTTTCTGATATTATTTATTACAGAAGCATTACATAGATGTAAAATACAATTTCATATCTGTTTAATATTTGTTATTCTTCCTATATTCTTTACTATATGATTTCATGACATGACATGCAGTTTTTCAAAGTGACTACCCACAATTGTAATTGAGTAACAAGAAGCTTATATTCTTCAAATTTGACTCTTTTTCTTGGCTAATAATGACTGAAGTAATAACAGATCATCATTTCATCATATAATGCACAATTTATACATTGCATTAGTCAAGTCAAAGAAAAATTATAAGTGATGCAATAGTTTTGACCACAACTGCAGTATGTTTAATCCTATTTTGTTTCAATTGATCTCAATCAGCCAACAAATGTATGCCATAGAATATATGTTTCCACAGAAGAACCATTGGATCTTGTGGAGGAAGCACAAAAGCGAGACTGCAGCTCAGTGGTGAAGTTTTTGCAAGATATGTTCTCACAGGAGCATACAGCCCAGTTCTTTTACACCAATGATGTCAATGTGGCGATTGACATTCTCATACGAATACTTAACAATCTCTCCAATGATGATACAGTGAGACTTCATCCATGTTGCCTTTTAAGTTACAAAAATGTATCATCTACTTCTGTTCACATTCTGATACTTGATTTTTGAAGCATTATTCATTATTGTAGATATTTAACAATGTTTCTTTGTTTTTGTGGCTTTCAATTGGATTAGCCCCTTCAATGCTGCCCAGAAGTTAGTACCTGATCCTGTTGGCCTTAAAAGAGTGTTTGTCACAAAAATATAAGGGCCAAATAATAATATAAAAAACTGGCATGTGCCAGAAAGTTGAACTGTGCTATGGGTACAGGACCAAAATAATATACCCTGTGTTGAGAGCCACAGGATATTAATAAACTCATGATGTGTTAATTTGTCATGCAAGCAGTGAATGGGTTAATAGACCAAATAACCAATTGCATTTTTACATCATATTTTCAATATGGATCAAGATGGAGAAAATGTCAATCAAATAGAATCCCAAATCTCCTTTAGAATGTCTCATATCTTTGGTGAGATTTATTTTTCAATGTCAGTACCTGTGAGATACTGGAAAACTGTCAGGATTGATTATGAGGTGATTAGGTAAAACAAAAGTATCAACAATTCACTCATTGTGTAATACCATTCAGAGATTACATTTCCTTCATTGGATTGGAAGAGGTAATTTTTGCCAATAATGAGCGAGTAGAATTTGATTATATATCAATAAAATGTTCCCACAGGTTACATTAATAAGATTTAAACTCGATCAATTAAACACTCTTGTTACCATGTTTCTTAGCTCTTCATTTTATCACTTCATTGCATGCTGCTGATGACAAAAAATTGCACTAACCACTTACATGTCCATGTCTTGAAGCTTGAAGCTTTCTCATGAATCTTGCATAATATTTTAATATTTCTTTGTGCTTGAATTTCTGCATGCTTTAAATAAAATTTGCAGACTTAGTAGAAAAACCTTGGTTCAATACTGTGGGCTTGTAACTGTAATGCACTCAGTTTAGTTTGGGCTTTATGTTTAGCAGTATGGCCAGGGAGCAATAAGGCAATCTCTATGAGATTGGATTTATTTCTAATTCCTATGGAAAAATCTCAACAGCTTGGAGAGGCAGTGTAGAGGCAAAAATATAGGTGTATTTTAAAAAGCAACAGTTTAATGATGGAAATGATTTAGCATAATCATTATCCAGGAGTGCAGAAAGAGGGTCCTGCTTGAAGTCACTTAGTTCCTGAAATGTGGTAGCATGACACATCACTGCAAACAAAGAAAAACAGTGTGAAAATTGTTGTAGCATGAGAAGGCAAAGGCCTGTAATTTACAAAGGAGTGTCTCTTTGAGACTTCTTCCCAGCATGTCACAGAATGAAATTGCTCTAGTCTGCTTTTTCTGAAAGAGGATTGAAAAAATCCTTGAGGTGAAGGACTAGGAAACTCTATGGAATGAGGTCTTAAAGCTGAGCCAGTGTTCAAAACAGTGTTACATACCACATACTTGCAGGTAAATGTCCCTGATCTGAAAAGTATTGCCAGGCTCAGCCATCAGCTGGGCTATCCACACTGAGGCCCACTGCAATTATTTTGTTACACCCCTCATATACTTCATGGCAATTTATTCCCAAACATGTCTTGCAGTCTGGTGACATGAAGTAGTTGAGGTCTACACAGGCAACTTTGATAACCTAACTTTTTTTTCATGTTCAATTGTATAGGAAAGCTATAAAAGCTGCAGAAATGTGATACTCTATTTAGCTATATAAAATATATATTCTGTATTAGTCAGGAATCAAGATGCCCTACAGTCTAATTGGTTAGAGGATATTGCATTAAATATAAATATGTGAAATAAATTTGACATCCACTCATCAATATCTCAATATCATGGAGTCAAAATGTCTCTCCTGGTATCAGTCAATACCACTATATATTTGCTGATATCCTTTAGTGATATATCTTTACATCCATGTGATTCCTACTTCATCTTATTCACTTTAGAGGAAGGCAAGTTACCTGGTATTCCTGCACAATGTGGTGAAGTGGACTGGTTATGATGAACAGAGGCATCGGGTGTCAGATGTCCACTCCTTGCTCTTGGCCATTAGCAAGGATGAAAAGAGCCTGACAGATGTTTCATTTTGGGCATCCACTATCCTCCACTTCCTGCCATCCTAAAAGGTACTTAGTCCATGATGAAAATGTCTCTGGCCTATCCCCTTTCTCAGGGTGAAACTTCAACATTACACTCTCCAAAAAATATGACTGAGATGAGTGGAGATACCTGAAGTTCTAAGGACCTTTTCATATCCATCCAATGTGGAGGCAGTGCTGAAATTACTCTAAATATGCTTCCAGCAATTTTATACTTAGCTTACATAGAATTAATCCATGTTTTAGCCTATGTATATGTTAGAGTCATGTCTCATAAGTATATCAGCAAAGGTAATCATATCCATTTTCAAAGCATTTCCTATTCACAAGACAAAATGCACATGATGTCATCATAGCAAAATGAGTTTCAATGCCATTTTTTTTCAAGGAAATCTCCTAAGCTAATCAATGGAACCAGTTCTCATTTCATAGAGAACATCCTGGATTGACTTATAAATTTGTGATGGCCTAAGTTTAGTCCCCATGTTACCATGTGTTCCTGAATTTCTCCCAGTGTTACTTGCATTCCATGTGATACCACAATATTCAGAGCTGTACTTTGATTTGGTGTGTTTCCTTATCCTCAGCCCCAGTTTGAAGTATATTTCCAATTTTGAATAGTACAAAGTGCAATAAAATGCTGTGAACTTAAATCTAGTAATAAATATTTCAATGGTGTGTTTTTTGTTTATGGTCATTACCATGCATTTTTGCAGGCAGCGAAGCTCTTATGCTTTGGGAAAAATGTACCCTTCCATGACTGCCTGATTATTCAGTACATTAGTTTTTCATATGTCTGGGAGTCCATGAATTGGTAATGCTGGCAAGACATCTGGAGTCATCCTATTTACATGAGATATGCACCAATGCTCCAGCAACCAGATATTTGCTGCCAATATGATATCATCAGTACCATTGGAAGGTTTCCAGGCTGCCAGGGCTGATCCCCCCCTTTTCCTCCCCACAAGCTAAAGTGAAGAGACTAACAAATGCTAATGTGAAGTCAGTTATCCCAATACTAGACTTCTCATTTTCAAGTAAAGTGTAGGCATTTCTGGCCTCCTCAGATTAAACTATTACACTATATTGTAGTCACTGCAATATATATATGCTTCACCCTTTCAATGTCATCCTGAGTATGGACTTGTCATGCGACTGCATGCTTGCCTGCGGGATAACGATTCCGGACAACACCAAAAGGGTTAATTGTCTTTTCCTGTTGTTGAGACCTATATCAAATTATGCATCTGGCTGAGAGAAGGTACTCTTTTCTGTCCTCTCTCCCAATAAAAAAAACATTTAATACACACTAATATTATTGATATGATACATATTATATTCATTCTCTCTATGGCTGAGATTGGCATTAAATCATAGCATCAGGGAACCTGCTGGTCTTCTGTCTCATACAAGAGAAGTCCTGTTACCAGCCTCAATCTCTTGGAAAAAATAATAGGAGGAATGCTACCATGAATCACATCATTCTGAATGGAAAAGGAACACAATGCCAAGTATTCAGAGTATGATTTGTTACAATATTTTTCCAGTATCTGGCACAATTGAGATTGGCACTGGCTGATTGATATGAGATCATAATTGGCCCACAGGCTGGTATTGCTACTTAGACAACAGTACATTGTCTTGCTGAGATCCTTGATTTCCTAGTTTTATTCAGATTTGAAAAGCAATTTCTTTTATTAAAATTCTTTGATATACCTTTTTTTTTTAAGTAAGTGAACTATTACTTCTTAATGGTGTACTTTTCTTAATCAGGTGAACCAAGATGAGTAAAGTGACTTGAATGAGGGAATTGGTCAGAATGAATTGAGTGATTTCATATACCCTAGTGCAAATTTTTTCAGCATACATTTTTTTTTCCACTTTTCATTTACTTATATATAGTTTTTTTTTTATAAGGTAACCACCCAACTTGCTGTTATAGAGAAAGTAACCTAGGGAGGAGAAAAAACTACAATCGTGGCTAAGGGATAGGAAACATAGTACAAATGGGATTATAGCAGAAGGGAATAGATGGTTCTTAAATGTGAAAGTGAAAATTTTCCATGAGTTGTAATTTTGTGGGAAAAAGTACAGGGTTGCTAATAAAGGAAGCACCTGACTTGGTTTAGTCATAACTTTTGAAGGGATTATATGATGCAGCTTATATGTAGAAGAGTTTCATGGGCCAGAAATGGTGTTTTCCACACTCACCAGATGGTAATGCATGTTTATGAATGGTGCTGTGGTTGTATATGCATTGAAGGAGTATAAATGGTACCATGGTAGGAATAGGACAGCAAGAGTTTATATGATTGCCATCCATTTCTGCTACTGGATGCAACCTCTGCACAACTTGGTTGAATGCTGTGTCTTTCATGCTCAATCTGTCACTCTGAGAAGATTTACAACCTTCTGCAACTCAAGGTTTGGATTGGTATGTGCTCAATACTCGCAGTTGTTGATTGTCCCAAAACAAGTTGTGAAAAACAAGTTGTTGACATGAAGCAGTTTGGTACCCACCATGAACTCCAGACTGAACTCCCTGAATTTCTACCTCAGGGAGTCCTTAAGGTAGATACCTACACAGCCAAGCAGACAGCCATTGTTGAGCTTGAGCAAAAAATAATGATAGCCTGTGAACACATCCTTGCTGACATGTGAAAATGTCAGGGGTATAGTGTTGCTGCAAATTCCTGACCTTTTTGGACAGTAATACTGAGTCATTTTCATCAGGGCTCTTCTCTTCCATTAATGTATCACATGTGCATGGCAGTTTTATACATCCCACAATCCTTATATGCATACAACCAATCAGTCCAAGTAAGGAATACATACATTTTTCTGTGTCACTCCATGTAATTTTGTTCTGAGATGATGTGAGCAAACTACATTATCTTCATGCTATATGAGAATTTTTTAGTCTTCTGCATACATTTATGCAATTGATGGAAGCAGCGGCTATCATCTCCCTCTGAATTGTAGATGTCAACTTCTGACATTGCTGCTTCATGATAAAACCTAATAATGGTTAATAGGGAAAAAATTGACATTCTGCATTTGTTATCTAGTGCAGGATTCTCCTTGAAAAAAGTACAGTCAACTCTCGTTATATGCGCTTTTGTTTTCCGCATTTTTGCCCACATATGGTTCCCTCCTCCCTACAAAGTGGATGTGATTTCCAGGAATGCAACCCCCGCATATAACAAGAGTCACCTGTATATGCCATTTATCAAATCAAGATTAAAAAAACTGCAGCACTTTTTATGCTATGAGACATGTTTTTTGCCATAAATGTCATCTTATGATTCAAAGTGGTGCTGGAGGTGTCATGCCTCAAATGAGAAGTAACATGTTTTGCTTATAGGAAGTTGACACTAGCTATTCATTTACAGACAAGACTGTTGGATCAGACACAGCATGCAGCTCAGTGTGCACTAAAATCAGCTTGGCATATTCAGTGAAGTCATGCATGCATGTTTTTACTCTGACATGTGAATACAATCTCTGCTGTTGCCCAGGAGCAGGAGCTTATTGAATGTGGCTTCTGAAATGCCAGACATTCAGGAGGAATTGAGGTTTGAGAGAGATATACAATAATATTATAAAGTGATGCCATGCTGTGGAATTGGTAATGCAAAGAAAATCATGTTCCTTCAGTGCTGCAATGGCAAATGGATGGGGGGTGGACAATAAAAGATAGAAAGAAATCACATGTTTGTGAATTCATGTATGTGAATTTAGATCCTGCAAAACAGCTGACTTCAAAACCATGAAGTTTTTACCTCAGGAAGAAAAGGGTTTTTCAGTTTTAGGAAAATGTTTTTCATGTTTCATTATTCTTGGAGTCTTTAGAATGTTTGCATAGATGTTGATGATTAATATTGTATGTGTGGTGACCTCTAACCCATATCATATATCCTGGTGAAAACATATGTTTTAAAAAAAATGTTACAGAAGAGAAATATATTTACAGAAAATGAAGATTTCATTTTTATCTTGGGATGGAATAAATGGTTTCAGATCAATGATCTCTAATTGATAACAATGGTCCTGGAGAGTGCACAAAATCCCCTTAGGGCAGGGGTTCTTAACCTTCACTAAGGACCCCCCAGATCCTCAAGTATTACCCATGAACCCCCACCCCCGGTTATCAGAAACTTTGGAACACCTGGATTTGTAATTGTAAATGATGTTTTTTAGGATCTACCTTCAAGTATGTATTTAATTTTCCATGGACCCTCCACAGACCCTCTGGACCTACCCCATGGACCCCAGGTTAAGAACCCCTGCCATAGGGTGAGTGCTGCGAATGTCTGCACTCTATGCAAATACTTCACTTCCACCATGCTTGCTGGTTTTCTTAATGGAGCGTCCAAGTTCATATTGGGTCTGGTGATACCTTTATTATAAACCTTGTACCGCAAACCTCGAGTGCCCCAGGCCTTCCATTTCCGAGGGCCTGGGTCAAAGGTGAAGTTGGGTCAGATGTTGGCAATCTCAGCACACTTGCTGGTATAGATGGCACCACACTGTCTGTCATCTCAGCACACTTATGTATCACTGTCATGTACTGTAGGGTAACTTGGGGAAACTGTAAGGCCCTTCACAATGTATCCCCTAACAGACTGAAGAATTATTGTAATAGTTCTGATGAATTTTTAAAATAGTTCTATCAGAGAATATGTGCATTTGCTGAAAAATTATGACCTGTTCATTAATCCAGAGCTCACAGGATTTCAGACTAAATCGATGTTTTGATAGTCATATGCATGCAATTGTTGAACTCATGACCCTGAGACTAATATGAACCCTGAGTAACTTAAGTGTTTATTTCCTAATAGCAGCATGGACACAGAATCAATTCATTCAGTTATTTTATGATTCCTCTAGAATTCTTGTGGAAAGTGCTAGCTCCTTCACTTGGGGTTTGCTGGCAGTTTTGCCAATTGTGTCATGCAAGCCAATATGGGGGAATATGGCCATCTCAATTTGGTGTAATATGGTAATAGATATGCTGCAGACATATGGAGATCCACTGGGCAGCCACATGAAATGTGCAGCAGATATATCTTCATTTTTGAAATATTGGCACAATCAAATTCAACTTTGATAGGCCACTCAGACCAGATTTCACATTTTAGGGCCATAATCCCCCAAGTTTCCTCATATTCTTAAGCATCTTAAATTGTTATTCATTTATCAGCAGTAATTTTACCAGAAGAGTGATTTTTTTTTTCAAGCAACTAAAATTTTATGCTTGCACTCACTACAGTAATGCTGACCTTTGGACCTATGGCACTGATTTGGAATGGCAATTCTTTTTAAGACTTTTTTTCCTCTTTACTTCAGAATCTACTGAAAGATCTCTGATTAACCCCTATTTCATAAGTTCTAGCTGGGACTTTAGCATACTTGGATTATAATCTTGAAAAATAGTTGCTCTTCCATAGGCATGCAATTTTCCTTAGTTTAAGCTACTTTTGGTCTGCTGCTCCTCTTCTTCCTCATCATAGATGAACCAGTTTCTCAAAGCTTGTTAATCAATTGATTGGCAATAGGCTCACATTTATTTTATTCCTTATCTAACCAATTCTTGTGTAATTCTTGCCCTACCCCATCCTTTGACAGAGTAACATTTTCATTGACCAAGAGAGGAACTCTGACCCAAAATCAGTGCATACTATCAACCACTCTCCCACCAATACTTTTCTTTGTGCAAAAGTAAAATTCAAGTTGCCTTTGTAAAATTGCTAAATGGCAGGAGAAAAATGGACAAACATTTTGGGAGATCTAGAAGATACATAAAAGTAATAATGATAATAATAAAACTTTTCTGTGCTAGCTGCTTTTCCATAAGCAGCACAAAATTTCAAAGAGCAGCATGTTTTGTTTTTGCCTCACTCAATATTCACTGAATTAATTTGATTGATTCATGCATTTCAATTAAGGTTTTCAGGGTCATCTTAAAAATTCAATGTTTCTCTGCAGCAGGCACATAGCAACATTCCAATGATGACTGTAGTCATTAATCACTTAATGAGACATGAGCAATTTTGAAAGTTTGGTTATCCTTTCAAGTATGGGATCTTCCCATGCATTAAAACACTTGGAAGTCTACTACATTGTCTTTACATGAGTAATGAATTCTCTTTCTCTTCTTCACAGATGGAAAAGTAGTGTAGAGGAAAGAACCTGCAGTAGCCAGGAGGAGAATAATGCATGAGGATCTGGTTGAACGTATTCGCTCTGCTAACACACCCATAGAAAAGGACAGGAAGCATGGAAATATGAAGCCTAGAATGAGTCAGCCTAAAAGTCTGCTTGCATTGAACATCATCTGTCCCCTGCTCATTTTGTTGATCATCAGCGTGTTGACACGCTATGCACTGCTCATCTATACCACTCTTGTGGATCCAGTTGTTCTTGTCTTGACTGGCTTCTTCAACTTTCAGATTTTTGGCAACTGGTTTCAGATACTTCGTCACCGCAGTGTGCTACCACGTGGTGATGTCAGTGGAGATATGGTGGCATCGATTAGCGGGGAAGCATGGTGTTCACAGTGCCACATTGTTCAGCCAGTTCGTGTGTATCACTGCCCACTGTGCAATCGCTGTGTTGCACGACGGGACCATCATTGTTTTGCTCTAGGAGTCTGCATTGGCCAGTTCAACCATGCTCATTTTGTGTACTTTCTGGGACATGCAGCTCTTTCTTGTTGCATTTTTGCCTTTTTTGCCTTTCGCTACATCCATACAGTTTATGATCCCCCTGCTGGAGACTATTTCTTTCCAGTGGTCCTCTATCATTACATCGTAGATGGGACTGCTGATGGTTGTCAGTCAGTGGTGACATTCCTCTTTAACTTTACCCTTCACCTGACTGTTTCTCTCTCAGGATTCTGTGGTTTCAATGTATACTTGATCTGCAGGAATCGAACACAATATGAATTTTCGCGTGGAAGGAATGTGGTGCGCCCTGACCGCAGTGCAAGAGTCTTTGGACCATATTTCCCTCTCCAGCTTCTGATCCCCGTTCATTGCCCCCCTATCAAGGCAGTGAACCTTGAAAAGATTGTATGATTCATCCAAATCATTAGGAAATCTATGGCATATTTAAAAAATATTTATGTTCCTGGTATCTGAACATCATGTTCCTGATTTTTGCCCCTCTCTTCTTTTCAAAAACACCTGTTTACCCATGGCCACCTGTGTTCGGTTCATATGATATAACATCCTGACAAATTCCTATACTGTTTGAGACAAAAAAAGCGCCGCTGTTTGAAAATTTGTGATGCGTCTGAAACAGCAGCTAGAAAAACGAAGTTTCTTTCCTATTTACCTCTATGCATCTTTTGAGCAAACTAAAACTTTTGCTTGTTTATCTCAAGCCGTTTTAGAACACAAGGGATATTACAGCAGTAACTGGACGCTGATGGGAGAACCTGCCTCACTCACTAGGAATGACAATTCTTTTCAAGGTATTTTTCTCCTGCATTGCTAAACAAAGTGCAGAGGATAAAGCTGAGCAAATCTTTGACTCTTCCTTACTTCTGGCTATTTACAGATGGAAACTTTTTCATCGCAGGATTTTCATCTTGAGACACAATGACTTATTCCACATGAACGCAGTTTCCTTCAGTCCGGGGTAGTTTTAATCTTCCGCTCTTTCTCTTCTCTCAGATGAAGCAGTTTCTCCCAGCTTGTGAATCAATCTCTCAATGATAGGCCTATGTTTCTTTCATCCATTACCTGGAAGTTCTTTTAAAAAAATTCTGCACTACTCGTTCCTTTCTCAAAGAGCAGCATTTTGTGAGCAAACGGAACAACTCTGGTTCGAGGTAGGTGCGCTGCACGAGTACCGTCCACTCTTCTGCTGGTACATTTCCTCGCGCAAAACTTAAATTCAAGTTACCTTTGCATTTTCGTTTCTGTTCCAAAACGACTAGAGAAAAATTAACAAGAATTTTAGGACGTTTAAAGGATGTGTAAAAGTCGCTGCAAAAAAATAGTGTACTTGCTTTTCCAAAGAACCTCGGAGCAGCGCGTTTTTTATTTTTGCCTCTCTCGATATAGTGTTGAAAAAAAACTTTCTGTGCTTTTCGCATGGGGAAATGGCCTTCCTTTTCTCGGGGGGTATTACTTCTTGTGTGGGCTCTGTTAATGGAGTTTTATCATTGTTGGAAGATACAACATATATCATCTTTCATCTTGTCTCATAGCATAAAAAATTGCCATGGATGGTATTAAATTTCATTATTTGCAACCCATCTAACCTCACCTCTGTCCATCATTTTATTACAAACTTTTTGTTCTACTTAAAAGATATCAGTTTATATTCATGGTACCTCTATCTGCAATGGAGTTTTACTTGTTGTTTGTATAGCAAACTTTCCTCTCTGCTTCAGCTTGGGACCAAAATCTTTCATTTATTTATCACAGGGAATTCTGCAACTGCAGGGAATCATCGTGGCATTATGTTGAAATCACTTATTTTTAATGTTCAATTTCTTACAGAAATGTCAAAATCTGATTTTGTTTGGGATTCGATTTTAATGCAATTCTTTATTCCTTTGAAATGATGAATTCAGAATTTAATCAATTAATTTCCAGGGATTTCAATCCAAATTATTATATGGATAATTAAAATAATAATCAAGATCAATATATGAAATACAGAACCCAACTCAAATTGAGTATTTCTAATTTCTAACTGAATGCAATATTTTGAATTTCAAATCAAAGTCCATTCTTTTTTATTTATAGCTCTGCTGCAGTAGCCAGAAAAGAAAATAACCTTAGAGTCATATGTTCTTGTACTGTATGCCTCTGGAAGAACAGTAGGCTGAGCATGTACATTGGTAGAAAAAGGATCACATGCAGGAACACATGCAGTACTCCAATAGAGAATCAAGAACTTCTTCCTATGTATAGGAAGCAGTTCTTCATCCAAATACAGTGGTACCTCGCATAACGAACGCAATTCGTCCCAGCGGTGCGTTCGTTATGCGAGGTGTTTGTTATGCGAAACACGATTTCCCATAGACGTCTATGGGAAATCATGTAATCCATTCCACGTCGCTGCAAAAAATCAAGGAAATTAGGAAAAAATGTTTCACTTTCACTTGCGAACACCTCGCATAACGAACACACCGCTGGAACGAATTGCGTTCGTTATGCGAGGTACCACTGTACTTGTTTCTCCTACTGCCTCATGTGACATGTGCGACCCAGATAGGAGCATGTATTACTCAATGAACCTTGAGGAAGTGATTGTTACCGTGTAAAATATGCACACATTTGCTTATTTCATCTGTTTTCTGTGGGAAAATCAACTTCAGAGTTTAGGCTGCCTATTCCCAAAAGGATGTGCTGTTTTTATGGGGGACAAAAAAAAAGAGAATTTTCCATCACTCATGTGCAACAACAGCAGTAATAGTTGTAACAGTAGCAGACTAATTACACTCGCATGACAACTGATTCTTATCTTCATGCTGACCTCCACTCTCCTTTCTCAAATTCTTTTTATTCTGTCATAAAATCTGCTGCTTAAAGTGTATTATATGCATAATAGTCTTTTTTGTGCTTATCCTCTTCAAATCGCTGATATCATGTAAGAGACCTTTGCATTTTCCTTTTTCTCCCCCCTTATGAAACTGAACTTGCTTGGATATCATATCCAAGCAAGTTCAGTTTCATATTATTATTGAATGTGTTATTTTATTTGTTGTGCATTTTACCTCTCCTTTTCAAATCATTTCCTTCTTCAAGTCATCTTGATGAACGAAATGTCAAATATAAAAAAACATATTGAAAAAAAAATAGTATTCAGCTTGAGCTGAGGGTCAAGGGAGAATATGTGAACATTTTCTCTTGCATGTTAATCACCAAGTTGTAGGACTGTTTCAGGTATAAAAAGCCATCTCTAAATCAGTAATGCAATTTCATTCGATTTCCCAGGGCACAACACTGCCAGGTATGCTGGCATTGTGTTTTCATGTCACATCACCATTCAAAGTGATCATCTGCTGCCGGAATGTTTCATGTCCATCCTCCTTGTCTAATTGCCTGTTTTAATCTTTTGCATATACACTATGGTGAATTGGCCATGAAGGTACTGATAAAGCTGACCATCTTTGCTTTCAAGCTTTTCATCTTCATCTTGGCCTTGTTTGCTATACTTGGTTGTACCACCTCATGTAAACATTGGTTCCACAAAGGAATTTAGCGATGTGGATCTAGCACTTTAGAGCATCCCTTCAAGCACTCTATGCATGCAACTCTTCTGTCACTGCTCCCCCTCCCTGCAAGTCCTGGCCCCTGTTGAATCCAATGACTGATACTCAAGTTGCTCTTATGTTCTTCATTTAGGGACAAATACTATTTTTGGTTTGATTGACATTCAGAATTGTGGTCCTATGATTATCTGCATCATAGGCTGAGGTACCTGAACTTTTGTTGTGAAATGGTCTGTGCTGCACTTATTACCTGTCCTTATTCCCTTCTATCCTTTGAACTACTGAAGCCAAAGAGTCAAACTGCTTACCAGACTCATTTTCATGAATGTGGCTTTTCCTGTGATCACTCTGAGCTGTGTGATGAATGCAGAGCTTTATCCTTTTGCATTTTCATGCCTTTCTTTTACAAGAATTGATGACAATATATTCTTAGTTTTATCTTCATATGCATATATATATGACGAATGGTTACCATGAACTTTTTGCGTGATTCTGAATTGTTTTGGATCTGGGGATCATCCTTGAATCCTTTCTGAAACCTCCAGGATTGACTTGGAAGTTTGAAGCTCTTAGTCTTCAGATGCAGTTGATGCTCATGATGAGCAAAGTCACTGATCATTGAGGTCACTGAATATTTATCTGAGGAATTCTGGCATCAAAGTAGATGATTGGCTTGTCCCTATTCATATCCACTTGGATAAGTGAAAGAAATGCAGTAATGTATGAAGTCATTGTGCTGTTGCAAGCAAGTGTGCAGCTACATTTTAGATTTCAATGGAAATCTTTAATGGAGCAGCTTCTGTTAAAACATGCATTTTTTGTAATGATATGAAGCAACAGAGACATATCAATGAAAATCTCATAGAATGATTTACATTTCTCGGTCAAATGTATTCACTTGTCTAGTTTTGCCACGGAAGAGATAGAGAATAACTGTACTCATAATCATCCTCTATTTGATTATCTGTGATAGTTTATTCAGCCTTGCCATGATTGTTGAGCTAATATGATATGCCTAGAAACTCGAATAATTTAAAGTCTGGCACCGGCAATTTTCTGCCGTGATTCTCTAAATTAGTGGTGTGCAACCTTAAGCGACAGTGGGCCGCATGGATGTCTGACTCTTCATGTAGGCCATAGATTGCAAAAGAAAAGGTTCCCTCTTTTTGTCATCAGGGCATATGAGGGCATAAGGTCGCGCTGATTGACCTAAGACCCTTACCTCTTCCCGTAGGAAATTCTCTCGCCCAAAAATAGCCCGTGGCATCGAAATCCTCCTTCTTCGGGACATACTTCGCACCGCCCGCGTGAGGAATAATTAAAGGAAGGAAGTGAAAGGACTCGCAGTCTGTTTCTAGTTGCAAAGGGATTACCAAAGTTGTGATGGGCCTTGGGCCGCAAAGAAACTTATTTCATTTGTTATCCCATTATGCATTACCGGACCACAAGAAGCAGGTCCACGGGGGGCCACATGCGGCTCACAGGTTGCACATCTCTGCTCTAAATCTTGGTGTATCGCTTGCTACCTTGCTCTCTGACTTGGGGGGGGGGGGGGGGGGGGGGGGGGGGGCCCCCCCTC